TACAGTCAAAGGGGGTTTGTTCTCTGGCGCGCAGGAGTGGGGGTCGCAAAGTGCTCAGTGGGGGAGGTTTTTGAGCCAGGATGAGCCAGGAAAAGGAATTTCACAAGATAACGTCATCACTTAAGGCAAGGATCGGTCATTTTCACTTCTTTTGTGGAGGAATGTCATCAGTTAAGGCAAGAACCTGCCATTTTCACCTCTTTTGTGGTGGAATGTCATCAGTTAAGGTGGGGGCAGGGCATTTTCACTTCTTTTGTGATTCTTAGGTTACTTCAGGCCATCTGGGCGTATTCCTGCAAGTCACAGGGGATGCGATGGCTTGGTTTGGGCTCAGAGGCCTGACAGATATGAATAAAAAATTCACCAGAGAAATAGATATAATAGAAAAAAGAATCAAACAGAAATCCTGAAAGTGAAGAATTCAATGCATAAAATAAAAATCTATTCAAGAGCTTCCACAGTAGAGTGGAACAAAAAGAAGAAAGCATCTCAGAACTTGAAGGCAGGCCTTTTGAAATAACCCAGCCAGAGCCCCCCTCCCCATGTCCCACTCGCATAAAAGAATTTTAAAAAATGAACTAAACCTACATAACATATGGGACACTATAAAACAACCAAAAACAGAAATTTAGGGTGTTCCAAAAGGTGAAGATGCCAAAGGTATAGAAAACCTAATTAACAAAATAGTGGCTGAAAACTTCCCAAATTTGGTAAGAGATTTAACATTCAGATACAGGAAGTTTAGAAATTCACAAGTAATTAAAACCTCAAAAGGTCTATTTTACAGCACATTATAGTAAACTGTCAAAAGTCAAACAGAATTCTAAAAAGAGCAAGAGAAAGGAAAAAGCTCTGGTCACATGTATGGGAAGCCAGATCAGACTAACAATTTCTTAGCAGTAACCTTATAGGCCAGGAGAGAATGGCATAATACATCTAAAGTGCTAAAAGGGGGGGAAAAATCTGTCAGCCAATAATACTATCCCTAACAACATTATTCTTTATTAAAAAATGTGAAATAAATGTTTATTCATCATCACTAGACCAGCCTTAGAAGAAATACTTAAGGGAGTCCTATGCTTGGAAATGAACGAATGATAGCTACCATCATGAAAACATACAAAAGTCTAAAACTTGCTGTTAGAGCTAACACAGAAATAACAAAAAGAACTCAAATATTACCACTATAGAAAACCACCACAACACAATGATAAACTGTGACAGAAAGGAAAAATATACAAAACAATCAGAAAAAAATTTAACAAAATGACAGAAATAAGTCTTCACATATCAATAATAACCTTGAATGTAAATGGATTAAATTTTCCACTTAAAAGATAAAGTCTGGCTGAATGAAGTTTGAAAATGCCCCAGCTATATGCTGCCTACAAGAAACTCACTTCACATGTAAACACATATAGACTAAAAGGAAAGGGATGAAAAAAGATATATCACACAAATAGAAACCAAAAGTGAGCAGAAGTAGCTATACTTATATCAGATAAAATAGACTTTAAGACAAAAGCATTACAAAGTGACAAAGAAGGTCATGCTATATCATGATAAAGGGATCAATTCAGCAAGAAAATACAATTTTAAATATATATGCACCCAACACCAGAGCCCCCATATACATAATACAAATATTATTAAACCTAATAGACTTCAATACAGTAGTTGCTGAGGACTTCAACACTTCACTCTCAGCATTAGACACGTCATCTAGAAAGAAAACCAACAAGGAAAAAATAAATTTAAACTACAGCTTAGAACAAATGGACCTAGGAGACATCTACAGAACATTTCTTCCAACAACTTCAGAATACATGTTCTTCTAATCAGCAAATAGAACGTCATCCAAGATAGACCATAAATCAGGTCACAAAACAAGTCTCAACAAATTTTAAAAATATCAAAATCATACCAAATATCTTCTCAGACCATCATGGAACAAAGCTAGAAATCAATAACAAGAGGAACTTGGAAAATGTACAAGTACAAGGAAATTAATCGATGTTATTCTGAACAAACATTGTGTCAATGAGGAAATTAAAAAGGAAATCAAAACATTTCTTGAAGCAAATGAAAATGGAAACACAACATACCCAAACATATGGTATACAGCAAAAGCAATGCTAAGAGAGAAGTTTATAGCAAAAAAGGCCTACATCAAAGAAGTAGAAACATTTCAAGTAAGCAATCTAATGATGCACCTCAAGGAATTAGAAAAGCAAGAACAAACCAAACCCAAAATTAGTGTAAGGAAAGAAACAATGAAAATCAGATCAGAGTAGAACTAAACGAAATTGGCTAAAAATACAAAGAATCAATGAAAAGCGAAGTTGGTTTTTTGGAAAGAGAAAATGGATAAACTGCTAGTTAGACTACCCAAGAAAAAAAGAGATAAGACCCAAATAAACGAAATCAGAAATGAAAAAGGAGACACAATAACTAATACTACAGAAATACAAAACACATCAAAAACTATTGTGAACAACTATTTGCCAAAAAACCGGAAAACGTATAGAAAATGGATAAATTCCTGGACACTTACAACCTACCAAGGTTGAAACAAGAAGAATCAGAAAACCTGAACAGACCAATAAGGAGTAACAAGATTGAATCAGTAATGTAAAAATCTACCAACCAACAAAAGCCCAGGACTGTATGGCTTCACTGCCAAATTCTACCAAACTTTTGAAGAACTAATGCAAATTCTCCTCAAGTTATTCTAAAAAAATAGAAGAGACCTCATAGAATGAGGCATTATCCTGATACCAAAACCAAACAAGAATGCACCAAAAAAGGAAAACTACAAGCCAATAACCCTGATGAACACAGACACAAAATATCCTCAACAAAATGCTAGCAAATTGAATGAAACAGCACATCAAAAAGATAATCCTGCCATGATCAAGTGGGATTTACTCTGGGGATGCAAGGATGATTTAACATACACGAATCGATAAACATGATATATCACATCAACAGAATGAAGGATAAAAGCCATATGATCATCTCAATAGATGCTGAAAAAGCATTTGATAAAACCCAAAAAAATGCTTTTTGACAAAAACTCTTAACAAATTAGGCATAGAAGGAATATACCTCAACATAATAAAGACCTCATATGACAAACTCACAGCTAACATCACATGAAATGGGGAAAAGCTGAAAGCTTTCCCTCTAAGAAGTGGAACAAGGCGGAGATGCCCACTTCCACCACTCCTATTCAAAATAGTACTGAATATCTTAGCCAGAGCAATCAGGCAAGTGAAAGAAATAAAAGGCACCCAAACTGGAAAAGAGGAAGTCAAATTTTCCTTCTTGGCAAATGACATGATTTTATACTTAGAAAAACCTAAAGACTCCACCAAAAAACTTCTAGATCTGACAAACAAATTCAGTAAAGTTTCAGGATACAAAATCAACATATAGGCTGGGTGCAGAGACTCATATAGGTAATCCCAGCATTTTGGTGGAAGGATTGCTTGAGCCCAGGATTTCAAGACCAGCCTGGACAACATAGTGAGACACTCATCTCTATTATCATTGTAAAAAAATATTAAATAAACATACAAAATTCAGTAGCACCAATAATAACAGAGCTGGAAAAGAAATCAAGAAGGCAATCCCATTAACAATAACTACAAAAAAAAAAAAAAAACTAGAAATAAATTTATCCAAGGAGGTGAAAGATCTCAATAAGGAAAACTACAAAACACTGATGAAAGAAATTGAAGAGGACACAAACAAATGGAAAGACATCCCATTTACACAAATTGGACAAGTTAATATTACTAAAATGATTGTACTACCCAAAGCCATCTGCAGATTCGATGCAATTACTAACAAAATACCAATGTCATTTTTCACACGCCAACTCCACACAGGCAGTGACCTCGGCCAGGAATGGATTTTTTTCTCATCAGCATCATCATTTCTCACTCAGTGTTCAGATGACGTTGAATGAAACGTTATTTGAGGACCTGCTGTGTGACATTTTGCACTGAAGAGAGATGCACTTGCAGGTGTTTCCATAGATCACTCTGACAGCAGGACATGGGGTGGAACTTGACTCAGACATGAGCCTCCCCTTGGGTCAGTTCATAGCCCGGCTCTACCACTCAATGATCCTGCCATGTTGAGCCTATCACTAAACATCAGAGCCTCGGTGTCCACAGCTGTGAAATGCAGACAGTAGTGACTACCTTGCAGGACAGAGAGGTGGCCATGCACACAGTAAGGACCTGGAGCCAGGCTGTTGGATGCTTGTCCTATTGCTTCCTGGTTGTGTGACCCTGGATAGGTTACCTAACTTTGTAGGGCCTCTAGCTTCCTCCCTGCAATAGAGTTATGGCATATGTTAGTTTGTGGAATGTACTTGCAACAGTGTCTGGCCCACCTTAAGGTCTATATGAATGGCAGCTATGAGTCCTCTGGGTGTTGTGAGAATGAAATGAGATCCAATTTCTAAAGGGCTTCCTGCTGTGGTGTGCACACGAATTAAACTCACTGGAAAGGCTGTTATATCATTGTGGGCACTACATTTGGTGACAGAGGGTAAGGTTTCACATTATTAGCCTGACTTTCCTGATGGATCTAGCAATACTGTTTCCCATTAACATAATGAGCATCCACAGGATAAGGTGAAGGAGGATCGTCAGCATGGATGGGAGGTAGAGTTTGACTCAAGAGCCTCGGAGTCTTGCTGCTGCATTTTGTATGAGTGTGTAGTGGGGATGGCCTGGAAGAGGACACTATCAAAAAATTTATTCAGGGAACTGAAGGTGATGGAGCAGGGAGACACACTCAATTTAAAACAAAAATTGAAAGTAAACAAGACTGACTGCTTTTGCCACAAAAATGTTGAGGTTTTTGGTAAACTAAGCCTTCGAGAATTTCCTGCATTATCATGTGCTGAAATGCAAAAATGTTTGGGTTTGCCGAAACCAGCAACTAAACAAGGTTTTAAAAGGCGAGAGACAGGCCTGGCTCACCTGGCCCGTGTGCTGACACCACATCCATGGCACCTGGCGGCAGCTTGGGTGAGAGAGGTCACAAAAGGTATCCAGATTGCCCTGAAAAGCACCGTGGCCACGATGAAGCCATGCAGCCTGGATGCCTTCTCAGGACTCCCCAGCCCTCCATGGCTCTGTTCCAAGGAACACACCCAGAGAAAGCTCCCATTTCCCCCTGGAGGAGGGGCCTGGCAGGGTTGCATGTTGGAGACGTGGTCACTGTGGCCACAGAGAGTTTTGGAATCTGGACCAAAAAGTACTTTGGTTGTAGAAAGAAGAAAAGCCAGGGGCAGATTCATAGGAAAAGTCTAAAGGTGGGAGGAGCCTGTGGTTCCAAGCAGAGGTCCTGAAGGGGAGCATGAGTTAGGCCTGGGGGCCCAGCATGGGGGCCTGGGCAGGAGGGAGGAGGAGCCTTGCTGCTGGGTCACACAAGGGGAAGGCAGGTGAGAGGACCATGCCCTGCTCAGGGGGTAGGTACCTGACCCCAGGGAAGAGAGAAGAGGAAGGCAAAGAAAAACAGGCCAGAAAGCAGCCCAGGACCCACGGCGGGCAGCCCCTTGGCCACTGGTTGCTGCAGTCAGGCCTTTCTGGGCCCTGGTGGGGATGGGATGAGGGCCGTGCATTGCAAGGCAGTGCAGGCCGCTGGCAGGTGACCTCCTGCCCCTAGAGGCTGTGTTTCGGCTTCCCGGTGCCCCACACTCTGGGGAGAGACAGGCCTGGCTTCCCCAGATACCCACTGAGGCTGCAGAGGAACCTGACACTCCCAGGAGGAAGCAAGAGATCCGACCACAGACAGAGCCAGGACCAAGGGGGAGAGGGGCAGACCAGGCAGGAACTCTGGGGTCCTTCTCCCTCAACACCAGCCACCCAGGCGCCCTCTCTACCCCTGTGCAGGGCCCCTGCTGCTGCCTGGCTGGGTTCCCCTCAGCACGATGGGCCTGTACCCGCCCGTGAAGGAGGCTTCCTCAGGGAGAGTGGTTGTCGTGTTGGCTCCGGGGCTCGAGCTCCTGCACAGGTGTCTTGTGAGGGCGCTTTCGGGTCTCCACCTCCTCCCCTCCCTGCAGTGCCTGTCAGCCCATCTCAGCAGGCGACAAGCCCACTCAGGGACAGCTTTTCCTCACTGCCTGAAGATCCTGCTGCCTTAGCTGACAGGTGCCCCTGGCATCCTTGCAGTGTTCGTGGTGGTGAGAATGCGTGTCAGGACTGGTCAATTCTATTTTTTTTTTTCTCATCTACATGACCTTTTGTGACTCAGGTTGCTTGACCCATGCACCTGCAGACAGGTGGTTTAAAGCCCCGGGCCACTGCCAGAGCTGAGGCACCCCTGTGGGAACCAGGGACTGGTCAGACATCAAAAGTTGCCACTGTACAGAAACATGGATCCTTCTAGAGAGGGAGTTCAATGTGCGGGGACAGACCTGGTGGTGCAGGGGACAGGAGCCCTCATATATGCCTGCCACTGGGGCACTAGCATGAGGTGGACCTCTGGTTTCTCCGGGTACCAGGTGACCAAAGTCCATCCTCCATAGAGTCTGCCTTCCTCCAGGAAGGGCCTGGTCTCTGCAGTGGGACCCAGCTGCTCCTCCTCCCGTAGTCCTAGCCTGGGGATTGCAGCCCCTCTCCACTGTGCCCTTCTCACCTCTACCCCTCTCATCCCGCACACTCCTTGACACCCACAGCAACAATCACAGTGGGGCAGGTGTTTACAGGAGCTGGGGGCGGAGGCAGTGGGTGCAGAAGTTGTGGTGGTGGAAATGGTGGTATCTCCTGCTCTAGCACCAAAAAAAAAAAAAAAAAAAAAAATGGTTTGCTGACTTTTCAGACAACTCTTAAGAGCAAGGGTATGGTGTCATTGCCTCAGCACCGGGCACAGTGCTGGCCACTCCCAGATGTGTGTCTGGGAAGTGAAAGGACTAGTGAGGAGCCCACACCACAGGGGACCGTCCTTCACGTAAGAAACACGCAAACTTCCTGGTTTGCAGACATGCCTCTTCCCCTAAATACTAACGACTTCGTCCCAGTCACCTTGGTTCTCCCAAGGCCAGCCTTGTTGGAGGAAGCCTGTCCTGGGGGCTGTGCAATGGTTCCAGCATTTGCAGATGACTGTCTGCATCCACCTGTTTGCAGATGCAGCCTCCCTGGGCCCACTACATAGCACCGCAGAGGCCATCCTTGACCAGGGAGGCCTGTTCCCACCCTGTCTCAGGCCCAGGGCCTCCTGCCTCAGTTACTCACCACTGCATATGGCCCCTGGGGTGGGTCCCCAGCCCAGGTGAGCCACAGCCTGCTCCCAGACTGCTGGTCCCTGTGTTCACTGGGCTGGTGTCCCTCCCAGCTTGGTGCCCGCCAGGACTCCTTCACCCCTCAGCCCTGCAGTCCCTAGAAGCTAACCCCAGCCAACCCCTCATCCCTGCCAGGAGACAGGGATCCAGAGAAGCCAAACGGAACCACATCCGCATCTGGAGCCTGGGGACGGGACTGAGCTCTGTCCTCTCCTCCCTCTGCTCTGTCCTTTGTCTGCAGCTCTCTGGGCTGGCTTTTTCCGCCCAGCTCCCAGCGCCCCTGACACTCTCCCTGCCCTGGGCTCCATCTCTGCTTTTGTCTCCTGCTCTGCCTTATAGGGGGCCCTTCCCACTTCTGTGGGGTTGACATTTCACTCTCAGCCCCGACAAACCAGGACTGTGAGCTGCCCGTGGGGAGCTTCATTTCTGTCCCTCCCCAGCCCAGCATGGGGCCCAGGGGAAGCTGGAGCTCAGTAAAGACAGATGAAGGAATGGGGAAGGCACCAGACATGTACCGAGATCCATGCTGGTTTCCCAAGTCACAGACAGCTGGGGGTTACAGCACCGTCCTCCATTTGGGCCATCAGGACCTCAGGGGGGACCCTGTCTTCCTCCCTCCACACAGAGGCTGCCTCCTGGCCCTTGTCCATCTGAGGCTTCCAGAAGTCCCGATTGTTGAGGCAGCCCTGGTTTCAGGGGTTCTGGGGTCACTTTTCTCTAGGAGCCAGGGCAGGCCTCACCCCCTTATCCAGGGCATCCCAGGCCAGCTCTATGTGGCCAGCCCGGGGCAGGAGGTCCTGCAGGAGCCCAGGCTTGCTAGGCTCTGGGAATGTGTGGACAGGTCTGCCACTCCCTGGGCTCACGTGATGAGCCAGGAGCTGAGGGAAACTTCCCACAGGCGGGATCATGGGGCAGTCACATGTTAGAGTCCCTCAGAGGACGGGCCTGTACCTGGGCCCCAGGGCTGGGTGGGGAAAAATCACTTGCCTTCTTGCAGCACAGCCACCAGACACAACACAGTAGCAGTGGTGCAAGCAGCAGGGGTGGCACAAAATAGAGCCAGTTGCGAAAAATGCCCTGGTGGAGAAAGACAGCACCATGAACCACGTCTAAGAGACAGAGGAATGCCAGGCCTGGGAGGGCCTGGGTAGCCTCATCCTGGTGCCCACCAATTGGGGGCCCATCTGCCCACTCCCCCTTCTCTACAGGTGGTCCCACCTCAAGGCACAATAGTGGGGTTGGGGATAAGGGATGCTCCCAAGGGAACTACAAACCCCTCCTCCGGACCCGCTGAAAGTCTCTGCCCAAGAGCCCTGTCAAGAAAGTCCTGGAAGCTCACACTGTCTGACAAACCCCCCCTCACTGCACACCTTGCCTGCAGCACAAGGCTTCTGGGAGGACCTCAAAATCTCCAGGTACAATGATGGGCAAGGGTGGGGGTGCTGTGGCCAAGAGAGGTGCAGGTGCAGGAGCAAGGACAGGAAACCCAGGTCTATCCCCAACAGCCTATATCCCCACTTCCAGGCTCTGCACCGTGGGCACATCCACACACCGCTCTGAGCCTCAGCCTCCACACCTCTGTGAAGAGAATGGGCCTCCCTCCCTGGGGGCACTTGTGAGGTTTAGAGAGCTCAGACAAAGTCCTGGCTCAGAACCAGGCCACATGGGGTGTAAGCAACAGGAACTCTTCTCTGGGTGTTCTTCACAATGAAGGGAACTTGGGCGACATCCATGCGAATACAAGCTGCCCAGGCCTTCCCCAAACCCAGAGCTCTGTTTAGAGAGAAAGATGGGGAGGGCAGGGGAGGGCAGGGAGGGAAGGGGAGAGGAGGAGAGGGGGCCTGTGCTGAGAACCCAGCTGGCTGAAGGAGAGGAACCACTGAGGCTGAGCATGAAGGCCGCTGGTGAGGCTGGAGCCCCAGGGCTGCTCCTGATGTGCCTGTCACCGTGGAGCCTTTAGTGGGTGGATTCCTGATGGGGAATGTGTGTGTTCAGCCTGCTAATCTGTGCGTGGATATACAGGGACAGGCAAGGGGAGACCCAGAGGGAGGACTGTCAACACTGGTGAGTCCTCACAAGTAAGACTGGGTACAAGGCAGTGGAGTGGGCTCAGGCCTCCCGCGCGTCCCTCCAGCACATCCTCCTGCCTATGTGGCCCTGGGCCAAGCTGCCCAAAGATGTGGAGCTCTGAAGGGCAGACTCCTAGGACACAGCATCTCCATTCCCAGGGGCCTCTTGGAGCTGAGCCCAGGTCCCAGTGCCCGAGAGCCTCCCCTTCAGCCAACAGGAGGGGACGAAATGCAGAACTCAGCGAGGGAGCAGAGAGGGACATCTCAGGGACTCAAGCAAGGAGCAGAGGCAGAAAGGTTCAAGGCATCTGGGCAATGACAGCAAGTTACAACCAGGCAGG